TGCCCGCATTTGCAGGCTTTCGACCTGCTAGGTTTACAGGAGCTGGGACAAGTGGCAGAAGCTCACTCTGTCACATGATTTGATCTTACGACTACTAGTTTTCCAACCTTGCAGCACAGAGGCTTCTGTGGTTTAACCGGCAGCGCTGCCACGTCCCTTATTCTAGCTGCTTATTCCTAGTATAAATAAAGTTCAAAACAAACAAGAACACAACTTTTTATTAAATGGCTGTGTGTTTACTTTCAAAAGGAAATATCCTTCACATATCAAACACAAAATGTCCCTTTCAGATTACCTCAAATTAAGATATAATATTATCAATGAAAGTAATGCATCTACTTGACTGCAAGTCATTAGGAGATAGCTCCAATGTTTTTCCTTCTTCTATAAGGAATGATGATTGAAGGACTCCGATGAATTCAGCCAGATGGCAGAAGTAATGGTTAACCTAGTACATATCCAGTAGCCATCAGGCTCAGACAAATTGCTTTTGGCAAACAGCTGCTGTATTCAGAGTTGTCCTAAGTCAAACACAACCATTTCCACGGTGCTGCATTTCCAGGCTTGCCTAAAACATTCTATCTTGTAAATCATCCCTGATAAAGAAGACACACTATGAAAAATATAGACTCATGAATCACCTCCAACATAATGTCAAACAGAAACGCAGTCAAGATATAGAACAACTAAAAATATCCAACAAAATAAATTTACTGAGATACCCAAAATGAGAAGTGTGGAAAATCATGATGGACACATCAATATGGAAATAATATGCATGTAAGAAGGAATGCAGAAGGGACGTGGTGGCACTGTGGGTTAAACTGCAGAAGCCTCTGGGCTGCAAGGTTGGAAGACCAGCAGTTGTAAGATCAAATCCACACAATGGAGTGAGCTCCCGTCACTTGTCCCAGCTCCTGCCAACCTAGCAGTTCAAAAGCATGCAAATGTGAGTAGATAGATAGTTACCACCACGGTGGGAAGGTAACAGTCTTCTGTGTCTAGTTGTGCTGGCCACGTGACCACGGAAACTGGTAATTAATTTTTTTTTAACAAATTAAAAAAAATATCCTTCTGAGACCTGTTTGATACACAGGCAAGAGAGAGTGTTCTCCCATGGTGCTCCTAGATTATGGAATGCATTTTTCATCTCACCCTTCTTGATTTTAGCAAGGGTGGGGGGATTTCTTTTCAGTCTTGCTTTTAAATGGTTTTTACGAGGGGGTGCTGCATTGAGCCTTTCCCAGAAAAAATTGAACTATGAAGCTATAAATTGCAGGGCGTACTGGCCATTTTGTCTGTATTCAATGGTGCAAAAATCAACTACCTATGATTTTAACTTATCTTTCATGTTCAGGTCCAAAGTGAACATGGCAGCACCTCCAGAAAAGTTCAAGGTGGAAGCACATAGGACCATAATCAAGTTCCTGTTTCTCCAAGGGAAAGGTGCAAAGCAGATCCATGATGAAATGTCACAAACTATAGGTGACAGTGGCCCTTCATATGCAACAGTTAAATGTTGGGTTGTCAATTTTAAAACTGCCAATTTTGGTGCTGAAAGTGAGACCTGTTTCTGTCTCTGTGCCTGCAAATGTGAAAGCCATCCATGACATGATCATGGACGACCGCTGAATGTCAGCCAAAAGTATTGCTATATATCTGAGAATATCATGTGAGAGAATTGGTGCCATTATCCACAACGACTTGGAAATGAGAAAGCTGGCAGCAAAGTGGATCCCCACACTTTTGACAACCGAAGAAAAGAGGAAATGTGTGGAGTCATCGGTGGCTGTTTTGGAACATTTTGCAAGAAATGAGTGAGATTTCCTGGGCAAGCTGGTAACTGGTAATGAGACATGGATCTACTGTTAAGATCCTAAGACAAAGGAACAGTCTAAGGAATGGAGGCACAGTGGTTCCCCCAGGCCAAAGAAGTTCCGAATGCAAAAGTTGGTGCAGAAGCAAATGCAACAGGTTTTTGGGATAAGAAGTGAGTTCTGCTGGTGGACTACCTCCAACAGGTTGCAACCATCAATGCAAAATATTACTGTGCTTTATTGACGAAACTGAGGCAAAACATCAAGGAAAAACTTTGAGGAAAGCTCTCCAAAGGTGTCATCCTGTTATATGACAACGCCTCGTCATACACTGCAGGTGAAACAATGGCAAAACTGACTTCCTTAGGCTTTCAACTGATGCCTCATCCACCCTATTCTCCTGACCTGGCTCCTTCTGACTATTATCTGTTCCCCAAACTCGAAAAACACCTAAATGGACAACGATTTGGGAGTGTTCTGGAGGCAACTAATGCTGCAAATGAGTGGTTACACCAGCAGTCGGAAGAATTTTATTTGCAGGGACTTAAGAAGCTGCAGGATGGATGTCGCAAGTGCATTGGCTTCCTGGGGGAATATGTAGAATAGTGTAGTAGTTACAGCTTCCTAGCTCAATTTTTTTCTGGGAAAGGCTCAATACCTATCAGCACCCCCTCATATAACAGGTTGTTTTAAGAATGATTGTTATTCAGATTGTTTTTAGGTGCTTGTCAACAATCTAGAGTCCTATTTTTAATTGAAAGGTGGGGTTAAAATGTAATGCATTAATAAATTACTGACCAGTCCAGCTGGAACCTTTTCCATTACACTTCCTGTTCTTACATCCATTGACGTAATCTGACATATCTCAGACATCTACTCTGTGTGAGCATCTGTTTATTCCCTACTCCTCCATGCATGCAGACATTATTGTGTTCCAGGGCTAGAAAACATGCAGCTCTTCACTTGGTGGAAATTCTGGAAAGCTATAACCAACCTGGCCAATTATGGTGTACTGTATAGGAATAATTGTTCACCAGCAGCATCTGCTACAGTTTTTCCATCTTCTTTGCTCCCTTGTATGACCTCCTGCAGAATTGACTGTGCTCCAGCATTTGGTGTCTCACATTGTGTGTGTTAAAGAGAGTGCATGTAGAAATGTCTTGAGAAAACTCTAACGTAAACATGTTGACAATCTAAATGCATCTCAAAGTCATGCTGTCCTATACCACCAAACCCAGTTTTCTGTGACCTACTGGCCAGTATGAAACATTTCCAGATAGTGCAAGAATAGCACATTTTAAATAAATGTTTGTTTCGTGGGTTTAAAAAATGGATGCATTATTATTTCATAAAATGAAGATAGATTTTTATTTTAAAAATTGCATTAATTCAACCACAGGGACCGATTGGAGGAGGGCATGCCAGGGACTCTTATCCATTTGAGAGTGGGGTAAGACTGGATTCTCCCTCCCTCCCGCCCTCTTTCCCCCACTTACTCCCCCTTCCCCTCATGCATATCATAATCATTCAACTTTGCAGTGGACCAATGTCTGAGTTTTGCAGATGAACATCTGTTGCTACATTATTTACCTGTTTCTTGAATATTAATCAACAGTTAAAAGAAATGTATTTTCTGTGCTTTTATGGTGACTAAATGATTATTATTGCAGCATTGGAAGAATAAATGATATTATTCAACAGAGCAAGGACATTACAACTCTTTCAGAATTCAAGCTTTGAGATATGGAGAGCAATTGTGTAGGAATACTTACTTGGACATTTGGTGATAATTCATTGATGTTTACACCTGGGGGGTTTGTTTGTTTCTTTGTTTTGCTTTTGTCAGGTTCTTGTGGTGGTGGTAGGAATGCTATAACTCAGTGGGCAGGATTGCCTGGATGTAAAACCAGGGGCCAGGGTTTCAAATCCCCACTCTGCCACCTAGGTGACAGGCAAGCTGAGATTGCCCAGAGCAGATGTGACTGATAGGGTTGCACGCTACTTGTGTAGGGCTGGGCTAACTGCATGGTCCTTGGTGAACCATGTCCAACTGACTACCTTATACCTACAAAATCTTGAAAATCCTTTTTAAAAAATCCCTATATATATGATACCATTTTGATATTTACATTCATAAACGCTTGTAAATCAATCAAAAACTCCAGAAGTATTATGAATAGCCACAGGAAGTTTTGATGTATGATAGCAATATTATAACATCACATTATTACAACAAGGTGCTGTTGCTGAACTAGTTAATTCATTTCAATAAATAAAACAGCAAGTAAGAGTTTAGTATTCCTTATATATTCTTCCCAAATGTTTACAATTAGCATTCGTTAACTCGTTCTTCCTATCCTTTTAGTGTACTGGGGAAAGAAATGATTATAGGACGTTATTTTAAGCGTGTTAGGAGCCCCTTTTTGGTGAACTAATTTCATGTAGTTTTTATGTTCTACCTCCCCTCGAACAAGGAAGTATGAAAATAGTTCGGCTTCTTGGATTTTTAAATGGCTGAGAGGGAGACTAAGTAGCCCCTTCTAGGCACATTCCTAATAAGGGCGTTATAATTATAGCTGCGAAAAAGGCGGGAAATGAAAGTGGTGTGTATGAGTATGTGTGTGCGGGCGCGCGCGCGAGAAAGCATGTGTATGAAAAAGAACGCGCGTGCGTGTGTGAGAAGAGCGAGTGAGCGAGAGCGTGTGTGAGAGAGAGAGCGCGAAAACGTGTGTGTGTGTGTGTGTGTGACTAAACGTGTGCGTGTGGGTTGGCTGGAGGACTACTTAGAACCTTATTTGTAGCTGCTGGGGCTGCAGCTTTTAATTCGCTGATAAGCCCATTACATAAGGAGCGGCGTGGGGGGGAGGGAGCCACGAGCCGACGGCCGCCGCGGCTTCTTCCAGTGGCAGAGGAAGCTGCCTGGAGGCAACTGCATGGGATGGCATTGCGTTACATGAAGGGGGCGGGGGAGGAAGACGGGAGGAAGGGGGAATAATGTTGGTGCAAGCGTGCTGGGCTTGACTCAGCAGCAGGAGCAGCGTGTGGCCCCTTTAAAGGGCGACTCCCCCTACCTCCCCTGCCTGCTCGGGTGCCGAATGTGAGCGGCGGCGGCTGTCCCTCCGCCGCCCCTCCTCCCCCGTACTTTCCGCTCCATTGCAGTGAGGGGCAGCCTGCTCTTTCTCTCCTTCCCTTCCTCCCTCCCTCAACCGGTGCCCGCCTTCCAATCCGCGCCCGCCCGCCTGCCAGTCAGTCCCGGGGAGGGCAGGGAGCGCGCGCGCCTGCCTCTTGCTGCACCCAGTAGTTCTGCAGCCCAGCCTGGAGAGGCAGGGAGAAAGGGACAGGGAGGCAGCGCAGACAGAGCAGAGCAGACAGATCGCGCCGCCGCCGCCGCTGCCGCCGCGATCGCAAAGAGTGCTTCCTCTCCCCACGACCCATCTTCCTTTCCCCCTCCCCGAGAGCACCGATTTTCAAAGCGGAGGAAGACAGAGCGAGCTAGAGGCAGGTCGACCTTTGAAAGGCTAGAAAGGAAAGGGGGGGAGAACAACAATGGAGGTGCCTCGCCTGGATCATCATATGAGCAGCCCCACCAGTCCCTGCGAGGATGTCATCAAGAACCTTAGCTTGGAGGCCATCCAGCTCTGCGATAGGGATGGTGAGTGGAAGGGTCCGGGGGGCTTGAGCGGCCCGTGGGGGCGGGAGAGGCGAGTCTGAGGGCTTGAGCTTCGCTGGAACCAAATTGCGTGCTGCTCTTGCCATTTTCCCCTCCCCACCTTACCCCTCCCCCAAGGATGTTGGTACCACATTAATCTCCCCTCCCGGTGTATGGCTCTTTGTTGCCACCCTGTCCTCGCCCTCCACCCACTCCCGATGGTGCGCCGGTTCAGGTGTGAACAGCTCCTTCCCATCCACCCTTCTCTTCTTCTGCCCTTTGAGAACAAAAGAACAAAACGGGAGGAGGAGGGTCACACCTTACGAAGGGGAAACCCTCCTTAATAAGAGATCTGTGCTGTCCAAAGCATTTTGCCTGTTGAAAGGGCTGGGAAGGGAGGAGGGGCAGCCGCCTTCAACCCCGTTCGCCTTCCAAGAAGAGGGCGAGTAGAAGCAGAATTAGCCTGAGCTCATCGAGTCCGGATCTGGCCCCTCGGAGCCGCCAGGGAAGGTCGTTCCTTGCGAAGCCATGATCACGAACTAGTGGCGCGAAACCCTTTTGTGAATTATTGGACTGCCTGGTGGGGTGGGTAGGGCAAGAGGGAATAAAAATGAAGCGTGCCTCCTCGAGGGCTTCTTTTAAAATTTCTCGGCTGATGCAAAAACTTGTTGTAGTTCACATGCTATATTTCTTGCTTAAGAACCATAATGAATAACCTGTCTCTCAAAATGAGCTAATGGTAAGTAAATACGAGACATCGGGTTGGTTTGGGTGGTAGCCAGCCTTGGTAAGAGGAAGGGAGCGGCGTTTAGATGTTTTCAGCACCACGGACAGCTCCAGCTCCTCTACCCAGCTTTGAGCCTCGCATTATCTCTCCGTCTGGGCGGAAATGTTTTGTTCAGTCCTGTATTTTACAGAACATTGAGCTGATTGGAAACGTTTTCTGTGAGACCGGTAAGCCCTTTGTTCTGTACCAAGGAGTTACAAGTGTTGATGCCAACGTAAAATGGGAGGGGATCTAACGAATCTGGAAAAAAGAAAGGGATGGTGGTGAAATTGTAGCTTTCTAATGCTGATTGTCCTAACTGGAAAGTTAAAACCGCTGCTGAACAAATTAAGTCTTGTTTTAATGTGCCCAAGGATCGTCTGAGCTGCAGAGACCCAGAGCTTTGTTAGACTGAAGTGAGAATCTGGAAACAATCAATTTTCATACTGATGAACTGACCCTGAAGACTAGCAATTATGTTTGCTTGTTAAACCTCTGCAATTATGTCTCATTTTAACTGTGCTAAAACACTAGAAGAACTTGTGCTCAGAAAGTAAGACTTCAGGGAATTAACACTATTTAATTTCTAGTGAATATACCTATGTTGTATTTAGTGTTTTGTCCAACATTATTAACTCTATTTAATAATTTTAATTCATAGTTTAAATGTGGGATTAAATATGCCTTGTTTTATCCTGCTACAGTATTCTAAAATTTCTTTGAACATTTGATAGTTGTAGTTAAATTACTACCTTGGTATATTCATATTATTTTGGAACACACAACTACAAGCATGCCATTCTGAAGTAGTTCTCAGTGTATCAGGATTGCAGGCCAAGTGTTGCATCAAAAATGATCAAATATCATTAAGTTTGTTTTAAAATGGGGACATTATGTACTTGCTATTCTAAAGGAGAATATTTATAAATTTTCAGTGTTAACATTATTTGGAAGTGAGAATTTAATCAACCTTTTCAATTTTTTACTTGAGTGCCCACATTTACCATGAGTACTTCAAGGAAAAGATAAGGTTGTATAATTTCAAGTTATGGGCACAATAATACTGTATTAACAATTCTGCTGAGGGATGCTTTGTGTTGCAATAGGCTTCAATAAAGCAATACCTATTTTTTTTCCATCAACAGCATATTTTTGCTAATGTCAACAGCAAATTTTTGCTAATGTCATGTATCATATTTTCCTCATTTTTAATTGTTGGGTGCTTACAAATCGAAACATCAGGACAGTGACATTTTATGAATATCTGTTTCTTGTCATGGCAGGTATTTGGGAATAGAATACACAAAATAAACATTATGCAGTTCTCTCTCTCAATCAGCTTGTCTCAAGTACAGTATAGTGAAACTGTGAAGTTAATTATGGTAGCCTGCTAACTGATTCAGCATAGTCTAATTAATTGTTCTGTACCTTGAAGTACAATCTAATGAAGTGCAAAATTTCTTGAAGTAAATCTTCCATACACCTGCATTTTTTTAAAAAAAGTTAGAGGTGAGGGGGCTGGGAGAGTGCCAACTTTTTCTTGCCATAGAGTTGAAGTGTCTAGAGAATATATGTAGGGATTTAGCAGGTCCTCAAAGATTTTCTTCTTCAAAGAGCACGACTAGTGCAGGACTGCTGCTTTCTGCATTAAGAATTTACCAGACACATGCAGAACTGAGTACAGGAGAGAGCTTGAAACATAATTTGTTTCCAACAGGTGGCACTTAAGGCCCAAGAATGCCTGCGTATAGGGAAAAGCACAAAGGAGGAAATACATCCAACTTCATAGTAAAGCAACATATAATTAGTTGCCTCCAATGTATAACCTGCTATAAACACGAGTCACTTCTTCTAAAGCATTGTGAGATGCAGTCAGTTGAGCACTGCTGTACTCCAATGTGCATTGCAGCAGTTCTTTGCTTCTGTGAAAATTATTGAAATGAATAGTAATTTCCCAGCAGCAGTTGTGAGAGATTTGAGTCCAATCAGTTTCTTTGGGTTCTGATTCTTATTCCTTTGAAAATACCTGCGCATTCAACTCTTCTACCCCTCCTCTTTCATGCTGACTAATAATGTCATTTTATGGTCATTCATCCAGCTAGAGTGGGCAGTCCTCATAAATCAACACAGTACAGTGTTGCAGTCCATATTTACTCCCCCCCCCTTCTGAGAGCCTTGCAATATGTATTGTGTGAAATTAATTAGCTTTCTTTAATATGTGGGGTAGACCTGGCCAGGCAACAACTAATGACCCAGTGTAGGGTAGTGAATTGAGTGACAGACTAGGAGTCAGGAGATCTGGATTTGAATCCCTGCTCCACCATGGAAACTGTTGGGGTGGATGGGGTTGGCATTGTCAGAACCATTCTTTAGTATCTCACTTACCTTGGAAATCTTTTTAGGCTCATTATAAGTCGATTCTCACTTTTTGGCACATAACACACATGCAACCAAGAATGATACCAATTGGCAAGGAAGTACGTATATGTGAAAAAGACCCAGGAACACGTAGTACTGTTATGTTCAGTGAAGAAAGTCAGTATTATTATTTTAAATCATGTGTACATTTTAATGCGTTGTTGTATTATTTTATTTATTAAAATATTTTAATGCACCTTTTTCCTTAAAAAGGATCCAAGGCAGCTTACAACAATTAAAAGACATATTTAAGTTGGTAACAATGAGTATACAATACTAAAAGGATCAATGCAGTACCAAAACACATGCAACACCAAAACACATTCAATGCAGCAAGATGCAACAATTTCTATTAAAATTACACCTTTCTTCCTACAGCCAGATTTTATTATTGTTTTGTTTTGTAACAATTTATTAAAATTAGAGATTACTATCATGATATTAATTAAAAACTTGACATGAAATAGTCCAGCAGATAACAATATGTCAGTGGTGTAGTTCATATTGTATTTATTTTCCTTACTCTTCCAGCGTTGTCACCTTCTTGAATGCTATCATCTCATATTGATAGGTTTCAAACAAAAGAGAGTGGAAATATTTTGAAGTTTTATTCAAAGACTATACTCCTTTTTTTTTCCTCAAGTAAAGTTCCTTCCAAAGTGGGTCAACAGGTACTATTCATGCAGTTAATTAAAATAATGATAATTAGCCACGACAAGCAAAACACCCATTTTGAAATGACTATAATAAAACCAAAAACACAACCCACAGAGGTTATGAAGTCTTACAAAACCTGCTTTTTAAAAAGTGAGAAATTATTTAGAGTTGTGCCTAAAGCCCTGCAGACATGCACTCCAACTGCCTCCCTGGTTGTGATGTCCAAGAGAGCAAGGGACAATGCCCAGAGAAAACAGTCCTGCTACGTCTCTCAGCTCAGCTACTTTAAGGGTTCTCAGAAAAGATTCCCCTGCAGATTGCAAAGGGCTATAGGGAGTGGACTATACCTTCCCACACCTGTCCAAGGCATACTGTTTGAAGCTTGTTGACTCACAGTAGTTTTAAAGTCAATGTGCAGTTGACTGAGATGTAACCCATTTTCCTCTATTTGATTTAATCTCTCTCTCTCACATACACACACACACAAATGAAACAAAATACGTTTTATGCATAGTTGTGTCTGCCTCACAAAAGGTTATACTGCCTATCTAATCAGAGTAGACACTTCTGTAAAATGTATGGTAGGCACACAACTGCCTCCAACTTTGCAGTAAGTGTATGAAGAGTAGTGAGAGAGTAAAACAGTTCCAGATTTCACCCACTGTTACATTTCTTTTATCATTATTTATGGCAGTAATAGTTACAGCATATGTTTTCAACACTCTTAGTCGCCTTGTGAGATCCAATTTAAAATATTTTCAGTCTACTTTATAGCTTTTTCCTGAATTTCTCAGTAATGAGAGCCTTCCTTAGTAATTAAAGATCTCTTGTAGTTGTAAATTACATCAATATTTTTAGGGGTATGCAAACTATGATTACACAATTACCTTCCATGTATTTCAGTTTCATTCATTTATTTGCTGTCTTCATCAGCATTTTAATTCTTGGCTCATATCTGTGACACTTGTGTCTTCTCTTCCAACGGGAAGCTCAATGCTCAAAGTTAAACAATTTGAGAGGCGGAGGGTGCAATATAATAATTTTTTTGATGTAAGCTAAATAAAATGTGAATTGCAAATATTTTTCCTTTTGCATTAAAATATTTAATAGTATATTATAAACCACTTAAATCTGAAACATCAAGAGACAAAGATCCAGATTG